TTCCAAACGTATTTTTGTTTCCATAAATGCTAGAAACAATTTTTCTTTTTAAAAATGAACCCTTGTGCAGAAATAGACACAGGATTTTGCAGAATCCTATTTTGTTTCAATGCAGAATGTTTTCTGCAGAGGAAATCTGAAACCATCTGAACACTTTCTAGATATCCAGTTTTTTGCTTCTGGCTCAAAAGAAGAAGAAGAAAAAGGAGGAAAGCAGTTCATGTGATTTTCAGTGCAATTTATGTAAACTTCAGAGAAAAGGATGCAATTTGTGTAAATTGTGGGGAATGGTGCACACCTATCCAACAAGGAATGGCAAGCTGCACTAAGCATTTGACAGTATAATGTTCACAGCAGCGTGGGAAAATGTTAGTTGCTTCATAACCAATGATGCTGTTCAGCAGGCACCCACTGCAGATAATAACACAGATTGGAGGTTGAAATGAAAACAGTGGGGAGCTGAGATCTGTTTACAAATTACCAGGAGCAATATCACTGCAATTGCCTCTGCAGTTGCTCCCATACCTTGCTGGTTAACACACACATGTCTGTCGCTCATGGGACTGGCTGGATTGTGCGGGCCCCTCCCAACCTATTGTGAGAAATCAAGGAGGATTGCTTGCATGAGTGAGAAACCCTGCTCTGATTCTGTAGCTGGGAAAGGCAGCATGGTCCATCTCGAGTGGGCTGTTCACCCTGATTACGCTTATACACACAATCACACACCAGCCTATCTCAATGGAAAAAATCTTGACTGCTTCAACAGCGACATGGCACTTTCTTGTCAAATGGAAGAGACCAGGCTGGTCTCCTTTCCCCCAGTGCTCTCCTAAAGTGCAGATGCTTGCATCCCTTTTGAGCTGTGGTACCCTCTTCAGTTTAGGATTATAGAAGCTGAACAACTAAGATCCCTGATGGAAAAGAGCACTGGAATCAGCCCCATGAATGGTGTGGCTGAGCTTCCTAAAATGGACCCTTGATTTTGATGTATTCTGGGGGTGCTCAAGGGTGCCCAGATCTGGTTTTGGTGCAAGCAGCCTGCTGTTCACCCATGCCTATCAGGCCTTGCCCCCAAAAGGTGGGAGGAGTCACACTTATAATGATGTCCACTTGGTAAAATATGAGCTTCTAGAACGTCTGTTGAGCAGAGGATTTGATTCTGTGGACTGGTACAACTCGGGACAGGATACCAGGCAGGAAAGAGGGACAGGTATTAGGCAGGAGAGGTCAGATAAGAAAGCCTCTAATGAATGAACGCCCTGCACCACAAGGCATCCATCCCCTACCCCTACCATATCCCAATAAAATGCAGCCAATTCAGTAGGTCTCACCTACGCTCTTAGGCCTTACTGCTGCTTCTCCTTCCCACCCAAATTCTCCTTCTTCCTCCATGATGCCTGCCTCTCCTTCCTACCTGATCTTCCACCCCTGATAGCTCTGGGCAGCCCAACATGACCTGTAATGATCCGGGGCTGCTTACATCCAACTTTGCTGAAGTCTGGATGCCCCCTGAATCAGCCCAATTTGGTTCAGGCTTTGAGCTTCAGCCAAATCTAGTGCACAGCCCTAGTAACTATGAGCCAGGAGAAAAGGTGAGACAGCAAGGGCGCAGGAAATCTGCATCACACTCCAGGAACACACCAAACCAAAACTGACAGGCAGGTGTCAAACGCTGTGGGAGTAGCCCAGGCAAACAATATTTTTGGGGTATTAAATACCTGAGCCGAACCTGTCTCCCCAGTGAATGACCTCCATGAGGCTCCTGAGACCATCTCTACAGCAAAGTACCATTTCTTTTCTCTCTCCTATGCAAGTGTCTCCCCCTTCACCTGCATGCTAATCTTGAAGCAGTAGGTAGCTTGGAAACGGCCACATTAAATTTCCCAGATGTTTTGGACTATAACTTCCATTAGCCCCATCCAGCCTGCTGGATGCCCAGTGCTGATGGGAGTTGTAGTCCAATAAATTTTTGAGAGCACCAGGTTAGGGAAGCCAATGGTAGTGATTTTTTAAAAACAACAACCTATAAATATAAAAAGCATTTACATTTGCCACTCAGTAACTGAATACAACAGCAAAATATTTAGATCACTCTCTGTGGATATGCCTAACATAATTCTACTTCTGCTGATTCTCCTTTAAAAAAACAGCTAGTACTATGGCATCCTTTTATAGTGATGGTATTTTAGCTGTATTGAATGGGAGGGAAATTGTAGACATTTTGGACACAGGTTCTTCCTTCCACCTGAAACTAATAAGGTTTATGCAGTTGGTGGACTGAATTTTTTTTAAAAAGCTTTCCAATTAATAATTCTTGAATGCAATTTAACAGGCTGAGAAAGCTTTATTAACTCCATTTTAAACAAAGCCAAGGTATGCGTTTGATTAGTTCATTTAGCAGGCAAACATCAGGACTAATCAAACATGGATTTCAACTTTTTTAAAAAATTAAAAATGTATCCATCCAGTAAAGCAAAATCTCTTTCACCTTCTGATTTACTAGGACAATATTAAAAATAAGCCACAAAACCTTCACTTTATTTTTCTTTTCTTTTTAATGAAGTTGCCTGCGACGGTAATTCAGAAGCAGTTTGAGTCCTGCAGCTTTAATAGAACAGTTTAATAAATCAGTATCTAAGAAGGTAACAAATTACTTGGAGGTGTGTGTTTTTCTGAATTAAATTCCAAATAACATATGCTGTCTCCAACTAAAAGGTTTAGCTTGACTCTAATGCGAAATCTCTTACCCAGCAATTCCAAGGTCCTTGGGATGGTGTTCTGGGGCAATTGGAAACATTGAGAAACATCTGAGAAGAGGTCTTATCTCTGAGAAAATACTCCGAGTGTGTGCACCACTCACCATTGTTTTTTGCTCACTTGGAACAGTCATCAACTCTCAGGTTACCCTGTCCATTCACATGGATGTTGTAAAGATATAGAACAAGGCATAAAAATGCCCACAAAGGGGAAATTGGTGCATCATATTTTGGCTGCTTTAACCAGACCAGTGCATCCTTGTTCTACAAAGGGTCATGTCTTTCTGCACACAAACATCACAACTTAGTATAGCTCCAAGATTTGACCAACCTTAACCTGGCCTGATTATTGCATGTTTTAGATCCCTCTAAAACACACAATAAGAGAGCTGGACCATAAAGAAGGCTAATCGCAGAAGAATTGATGCTTTTGAATTATGGTGCTGGAGGAGACTCTTGAGAGTCCCATGGGCTGCAAGAAGATCAAACCTATCCATTCTTAAGGAAATCAGCCCTGAGTGCTCACTGGAAGGACAGATCCTGAAGCTGAGACTCCAATACTTTGGTCACCTCATGAGAAGAGAAGACTCCCTAGAAAAGACCCTGATGTTGGGAAAGATGGAGGGCACAAGGAGAAGGGGACGACAGAGGACAAGATGGTTGGACAGTGTTCTCAAAGCTACCAGCATGAGTTTGACCAAACTGCGGGAGGCAGTGGAAGACAGAAGTGCCTGGCGTGCTCTGGTCCATGCGGTCGGACACAACTAAACGACTAAACAAGAACAAAACGTGTTCCAGGAAAAGATTAAAAAATAAAACCAGCTCCCCCCCCTCTCTCTCACACACACATAGGCTATTGACAATTATAAAAGACAGCCCCCTCCTTTCCAGCACCCTGCTTACATCTGCCATATTGGGATAGTGGTACCTCGGTTCTCAAACTTAATCTGTTCCGGAAGTCTGTTCCAAAACCAAAGCATTCCAAAACCAAGGCGTGCTTTCCTGTAGAAAGTAATGCAAAATGGATTAATCCGTTCCAGACTTTTAAAAACAACCCCTAAAACAGCGATTTAACATAAATTTTACTATCTAACGAGACCATTGATCCATAAAATGAAAGCAATGTTCAATGTACTGTGCTATAAAATAAATAAGACAGTATCAGAGATGATAAAAATAAAAAAATCATTTTTTTCTTACCTGCACTGATGGTAGTCATAGTTTGGATGGGGGGCTTTTTGTTACGATATAGAAGCAATGCAGCCACGAGCTGCTAGCTTGAAAACAGCACATGATGGAATGTTAGGACTGTTCCGTGGGAAACAGAGGGACAGTCAACTCACAGGGCAATGCACCGGAACTAGCTCAGAGTGTAATATGAGCTCTTCCTTTTGCTCTTATACAGGAAGTGTTTCTCTCTCGACTGCTGGAGCTTGAAGAGAGCAGTCATGCTTTTGTAATGCTGCAAAGACAGAAATAAAGAAATGTAAATACGTTTCTGTCTATCTCTTTCCCCTGCCCGGGGGGGCAGGAAAGAGGGGGGGTGTTCTTCTCACGCTGAGAAGGATCGCCTATCGCGACCTAGCCTGTATCTTGCCGGGAAAGGAGACAGGGAGGTTAACAGGAGACCAAGCCGGGTGCCTGGGAGATTTGCCAGTTTCTCCTGATAAAGGCTTGTTTTCCAACATCTGGTAGCACGGAGCCGACGGTTTCGATCCATGAAAGCAACAAGAGAGGTTGATGGATCGTACTTCATCCTCTGCAAGGAGATAAAGAAAGAATGTGGTAGCGGGCGGATGGAAACTACAAGGACGGCTGAGCACCGGAGGAGGTGTTTTTGCTGAGCAACGGATTCCCTCAAGGTATGGTGATTTTATGGCTGTGAGAGTGAACGCGAATTGAAGCATTCTTCAGTTCACTGAGTGTCTGTTTTTGGATGAAAACAGCATGGAGAAACAGCCTGCATATTTCGCATTCCTGAGGCTGGATAAGCCAAGTCCAGTTGCTAAGCAATGAGACGTCAATCTTTTCAGCTACGTCGGAGATAGTTAGCTTGAAAGAAAGTGGACATTTACTAGTCAACGGAAGAGGGGCTGGGACTGTAAAAGGCTGGAAAAACACTGGTAAAAATTCCAGCGTTTGTTTTGTCTGTTGTCTCACTGCTCTTGGAGGAACTTTCCGGAGCTGCCTGCGTTTAGCTGCCAGGTGCAGGCTTGAGAGTGAGAGCTGAGGCTTGGATTCAAAATGGATGCCAAGAAGGGGGGAGGCTTACCTTACCCACCTCCACTGACTAATGACAATTATACCTCATGGTCTGTAAAGATGAAAGCCCTGCTTCAGAATCAGAGGTTTTTTGGGGTGATTGATAACCCCATCCCTGCTGCACCAACGCCAGGTTGGAATTCACAGAATGTGAGAGCCAGGACGGCCATAATTCTGTGTATCTCAGATGATCAACTCGTGCATATTCAGGATTTGGAATACGCGCGTGAGATTTGGCAAACGCTGCGTAGAATACATCAAAGAGATGCTGGTTCTTCAGCGTTGCTGCATTTTGAGAAACTGACCAATCTAAGGCTAGCACCTGATGGAGATGTACAAGCGCATCTGACAGAGATGAAATTCTTACGCCAGCAGATGGCGCAACGCAATTTCCCTCTTCAGGAAGAGATATTCTGCTTCATGATTATTAACAGCCTTAATCGGACTTATAAAACGGTTGCAAGTCAGCTTGGTTCTCTACCTGCCCGAGATCTTACGGTGGAGAGAATTTGTTCGGTGGTTCTGAATGAGAGAGACAGACTTGCTGCAATAGATGTCAAAGACAGGGGGAGAGAAGCTCGGAGTTCTGACACCCCCACTGCTACTGCTAGTGAAGAACAGGCTGTTGCTTTGAACGTTGTCCGTTGTTACAATTGTGGACAGACTGGGCATCTTCAGCGGAATTGTAAGAAGCCACGTCAACAGAAAGGAGCTAAGGGGAGCTCTGCAAAGCCTGAGGCATCAGGCAAAAGTCGTACCAAGTTCCAGGTGAAACCTGCAAAAGCATTGCTGTCAACAAAAGCCAAATTTTCAACGGAGAACGCTTTTGTTCTTGACACGGGTTGCACGCAACACATGACGTCATGCCGAGGACTATTTTCAACGTTTAAGAAGCAAAGCTTCACTGTGAAACAGACCAATGGCCAGGAGCTGAAAGCGACCGGGTTTGGAACTGTGTATCTAGAGAGTCTGAACTTGACTATTAACAATGTGTATTTGGTTCCTGATTTAAAGTTCAATCTGCTGAGTGTTTCGCAGATCACAAAGAAAGGACTGATTTTGTCCTATGATAGAGAAAGCTGCAAAATCTTCAAAGATGGAGAGCTGTATCTTTCTGCCAGAGAGAAAGATGGACTGTATTTGTTGACTTTTGATCAAAGTGATTGCATAAGTTGTAATGCATCTGAGTCTAACATGATTTCTCTTGCAGGTATGAAGAAAAACGTCCAGGAGATGACGCAAGTAACCAAAGCTTTTCAGCGAGTGTATGCTGATGTGATTGGTCCTCTACCACCATCTAGAGGCAATGCAAGATATTATCTTGTGTGTGTGGATTATTTCTCTCATTATGTGTGGATATAGAATCATAGAATCATAGAATCATAGAATCATAGAGTTGGAAGAGACCACAAGGGCCATCGAGTCCAACCCCCTGCCAAGCAGGAACACCATCAGAGCACTCCTGACATATGGTTGTCAAGCCTCTGCTTAAAGACCTCCAAAGAAGGAGACTCCACCACACTCCTTGGCAGCAAATTCCACTGTCGAACAGCTCTTACTGTCAGGAAGTTCTTCCTAATGTTTAGGTGGAATCTTCTTTCTTGTAGTTTGGATCCATTGCTCCGTGTCCGCTTCTCTGGAGCAGCAGAAAACAACCTTTCTCCCTCCTCTATGTGACATCCTTTTATATATTTGAACATGGCTATCATATCACCCCTTAACCTCCTCTTCTCCAGGCTAAACATGCCCAGCTCTCTTAGCCGTTCCTCATAAGGCATCGTTTCCAGGCCTTTGACCATTTTGGTTGCCCTCCTCTGGACACGTTCCAGTTTGTCAATGTCCTTCTTGAACTGTGGTGCCCAGAACTGGACACATTATATACATAATGAACAAACCACAAGAAGCCTTAGAAAGGTTTAAAGAGTTTTGTGACAAGGTTAATAATGTTCATGATGCTAACATTGATTGTCTTTTCACAGATGAAAAGCCAGTTTTTCTTTTGCAGGATTTTCAGGATTTCCTGCATAAGCGAGGCATAAGGCACAAGACTGCTGTTTCAGCAGATGCATGGAACAAAAGTGTCTGTGTGCAAGTGAACAAAGAATTGCAAAATGGCATGAAGGCACAATTACTGAGTTCACATTTGCCACATGAGTATTGGGCGGAATCATTATTGTGTTATTGTTACTTTTGGTTGAGAAAGGTTTCAAAAGGTTTGGGAAGTTCTCCTTTTGAAAAGCTATTCCACAGAAAATCTTCTGTTGCCCATTTTAAGGTTTTTGGGTCTCATGTGAAGACTGAAGCTCCAGGTGGAGTAAAGAATGCTAGAGACATTTTTGTGGGTTATGAAAAGGGTCTCTATAGAGTAATTTTGTCTGAATCTGGCCAGGTGATTCTCACAAAATTTCTAGAGAGTGCTCCTGAACAGGAGAGAGTATTTGTTCACACATTTCCCACTGAGGACAATTCAGATGATGATGATGATTTTACTGATTACAGTGGTACTGAGAGTAACAGTGATAGCTCAAAGAGCTCAGTTGACACAGTCACTGAGAGGAAATCTCACACAATGGATAGACCTTCACAGGTGAAGGATGAACCACTGTTTACTATCAGAACTGGTTCTCCAAAGAGTCCTGAGACTGAACCAGTGAGCAGAAAGGATCAGCACCTTATACGCAGGTCCGAGAGAGTTACAAAGGGTGTACCACCCAAGAGGTATTCAAAAGAGTTTGCAAACTCAGCTGTAGCATGTGTTACTATTGTTGACAACTCAAGACAGGTTAAAGGTGTGTCTAAGTCAGAGACAAAGACACAACAGGGAGTTGCTAAGTGTAACACTACATTCCCTAGCCAAGGTAATGCAGATGCACTCATTCCTTGGAAGTCAGACAACCAGAGAGGTACACTGGGGAAATCAGTGGCGGGTAGTTCCAAGGGTGGAACTGAAACAACAGGGGAGTGTTATATGTATAACAACTGTTTGTTTTCTTTCTTTTGTAATTTCTTTCTTTTGATAGACATTTGGAGACTTAGACATCCATTGGAGAAACAATTTACTTTTTTCTCTGAACCGAATCAATCATTCTCAAAAATAGATCAAATATGGGTTTCGAATGAACTCACGCCAAGAATTTTACAAATTGAGATTCAACCAAAAGTAATTTCTGATCACAACCAAATAAAAATGGAATTAAAAGGTTTTGAGGAAAGAACCTTTAGATGGAAAATTAACGATTATCTTTTTGATGATCAAAAAAATATAGAAAAAGCACAAAAGAAATTAATGGAATACTTTGTGGACAATTGTAACAAAGGTACAAAAATGAGTGTAGTTTGGGACGCAAGCAAGGCAGTGATGAGAGGTTTTTTTATTCAGCAGAATTCATTGAGGAATTAAGAACAGAGAAAAAAGGAAGAAAGAAATTTTAGAACAGATAATGGACAAAGAGCAAAAATTAATTAAAAAACCAAACAACTCAAAATTAAAACAAGAAATCAAGACTTTGCAAACACAATTTGCAATGATAATAAATAAAGAAGTAGAATTGAATATCAAAAGGTTAAGACAGAAAAACTTTGGATTCGCTAACAAATCAGGCAAATGGCTTGCGTGGCAAATCAAAAAAAGAAAGAAGCAGAATACTTTTAACAAAATTTCCGTGAATGGTGAAGAGATTGATAATCCGAAAGGAATTAGAAAAGGATTTTTGGACTTTTATAGACAATTATATAAAAACAGAGAAAGGAATAATATGAGGAAAATAGAGCGATTTTTGAAAGAAAAAAAGGTGCAGAAGATCCCGACAGAAAAAAGACCAACTGAATGCCCCAATAACCAGTGAAGAGATAAAAGAGACAATAAAGGAATTGAAGAGGGGGAAGGCTCCAGGACCAGATGGATTTACATCAGGCTACTATAAAGAATTGAAAGATGCGTTGATGATCCCACTGAAAGAAGTTATGAATAATATTTTAAAAGAAAGAGACATCCCGGAAACGTGGAAAGAAGCATTTATTACATTTATCCCTAAACAGGACTCGGACTTAACACAAGTTAAGAACTATAGGCCTATTTCATTGCTGAATACAGACTACAAAATATTTGCAGGGATTTTAGCGAATAGAATGAAAAAGATATTACAAGAAATCATCCATAAAGATCAAGCGGGTTTCCTTCCAGGCAGACAGATGAAAGACAATATAAGAAATATAATTAATATTTTAGAATATCTGACTGCCAGGAATGAAAAACAAGCTATACTAATGTTTGTGGATGCGGAAAAGGCCTTTGATAACATTGCATGGGATTTTATGTTGAAAAATCTTGAGTTTGTGGATGTAGGGAATGAGTTTTTTTAATGGGATAAAGGCAATCTATACAGAGCAGAAAGCTAAGTTGATTGTAAACAATGTGACCACGGAAGATATAAAAATAACAAAAGGAACTAGACAGGGATGTCCACTCTCACCACTGCTATTTATAATGGTTCTGGAGGTTTTTCTAAGGGCAATTAGACAAAATGAATAAAATAAAAGGGGTGACAGTTGGTCAGAATGAATATAAAGTGAAAGCCTTTGCAGATGATCTGGTAATAATGATGGAAGAACCAATAGAAAGTGCAAAAGAAGTATTGGAGGAGATTGAGCAATTTGGAAACGTGGCAGGGTTTAGACTAAATAAGAAAAAAACCAAAATAATTGCAAAAAATATGGATCAAAGTATGATAGAAACAATGCAACAAAGAACAGAGATAGAGGTGGTGAAAAAGGTAAAATATTTAGGAGTTTGGTTAACTCCTAAAAATATTGACTTGTTTCAGAACAACTATACACCGGTATGGAACGGAATAAGGAAAGATCTGGAGATGTGGGGAAGAATGAAATTGTCATTTTGGGGTAGAATTTCTTCGGTAAAGATGAACATCCTTCCAGAGATGTTATTCTTGTTTCAAACTATCCCCATAATAAAGGGGGTAGCAATTTTTACAGAGTGGCAAAGAGTGATTTCAAGGTATATCTGGCAGGGCAAGAAGCCGAGAATTAAATTTAAGTTATTAACGGATACGAAGGAAAGAGGAGGCTTTGCCCTGCCAGACTTGAAATTATACTATGAAGCAGCATGTCTTTTCTGGTTGAAAGAATGGATAAAATTAGAGAACAAGGAATTATTAGACTTAGAAGGGTTTGATAACAGATTTGGATGGCACGCGTATTTGTGGTGTGAAAAGAAGAAAATTCATAAAGGGTTTGGAAACCACATATTCCGGAGTTCATTAATAGAGATATGGGATAGGTATAAAAACCTATTAGAACCAAGAGTTCCACACTGGTTGTCTCCGTTAGAGGTTATGAGTGTAAAGAAAATAAACATGAGAGGTAAGTGGATAACATATGGTGAATTGACAATTAAAGAGGGAGGAAAATGGAAATTAGAACCATATGAACAAGTCAGAGAACATGTGTATGATTGGTTGCATTATTTTCAAGTTAATGAAATGTTTAAAAAAGACATTAAAGAAAGTGGTTATGCAGACAAAGACTCAAAGTTTCAAATAGATATAATAAACAATGATTGTAAGGTTCTGTCAAAAATGTATAAGATATTGCTAGAATGGCATATGAAAGATGAAGAAGTTAAATCGGTAATGATACAATGGGCCAGAGATTTCGGGTATAATATACAGTTTGATGACTGGGAAAAACTATGGAAGGATAATTTAAGATTTACAGCTTGTACGGCACTTAAGGAAAATGTTATGAAAATGTTTTACAGATGGTACATCACACGGGTAAAATTAGCAAAAATGTATAAGACGTGTAATAAGTGTTGGAAATGTAAAGAAAAAGAGGGAACGTTTTACCATATGTGGTGGGATTGTAAGGAAGTGAAAGGTTTCTGGGAGATGATATACAATGAAATGAAAAAGATGTTAAGATATACATTTGTAAAAAAACCAGAGGCCTTTCTTCTAGGAATTACAGGAAAGGAAATAAGAAGAAAAGACTGTAAACTTTTCCAATACGCAGTCAGAAATGGAAACAAGAGGAAATACCATTGATAGAAGAATGGAGAATGAAATTAACAGACTATGCAGAACTGGATAAATTAACTGGGAAAATTAGATATCTTCGAGACCAAAAGTTCATCAAGGACTGAGGAAAATTTGTTGAATATCTGAAAATAATATGTGATGTTCAAACAACGCTAGCGGGGTTTCAAGAAGCACTGTGAAAGTTGAGATATATTGTTAAAAAGAAATAGATAGGGGGAGGAAGACTAATGGCAATAAAAACAGAAGAAATGTGTAATTGAGAGGGAAAAACGGATGACTGTCAGAGAAGCTGAAGGAAGTCCAAACAGAGCTAAATTTGTGAAAAATTTGATAAGATTGTACATTTGTGTTGAAAAATAATAAAAACTATTTTTTAAAAAAACATATTAAAAAAACAAATATAAATATGAAAAAGAATCTGAGACACTTTTGAATATAAAAAGAACTAAGAACACTTTAATATGTAGAAACAATTAAACACCCAGCCACACCCACAATATATATATATATACCCAATCTAATACAGTTACAGACTGGGATAAAGGTATTCCACTGGCTGGTAAAAAGCCAACAGAGGAGGCATTTTGTACTGGAGGGAGTCCTGCATTTTGTGGAATGGGATTCCCAATGTGGTGGTATCTGCTGGAGGCCCTCTCCTGTGATCAATGCAGTGATCAATCAGGTATATTGGTCTTAACTGAGATGAAGTTGATGCGTTTAATTAGAGAAAAATCATTGTCGCTATTTACTAAACACTGGAAACCCTTTGTGGACTTTTTGCATGCAAAACAAAATAAATTTGGGATGCCTAAGTTTGAGGATTGAAGAAATTTTTGGTTTATAGAAAGTTGATTAGTAGGGTGTTAGCTTTGGAGTGGATGCTTTGAATAGTTTTCTATATATAGCTTCTTTCTGTTTCTTTTTGCCTTTTTGTGTTTGTGATTTTATTTAGATCAGTTTCTTTTATCTGATATTCTGAAAAGATATTGGGTATTTGATATTAACATTTGCATATCTTTTTTCAAACTCTGTTTGAGAAACTCTGGTCTCTGGAGTGGATACCAAGGGGAAAATTTTTGTGTTTCCAATTTAGTTGCAGGTCCCTTCTGGATTCTATCCAGAAGAGCCAAACCCTTAGTTGACACTTATTCAAGGTCAATGCGGAACTTTGTTCTGGAAAATAATAATAGACTAAAACATCTTGACAAGCTGCTTTCCAGAGTTGGTTATCACCCAATTCCATATAGCACAGCGCAGGAAAATGCTCAGTTGGCTTAGTAGCAATTGTTTTAATATACTTTAACAGAGAGCAGTCTGCTTTTGCCTTAATTGTTGGCCACCTATATTCTGTACAAATGCTGATGTTCCGGATGGTAGAGAGCATAGCTTTTAAAAGAAAAAGAAAAATCTGTATGGTTTCTAAAACATTAATGGAGTTTGAATTTGGGGCTTACAGCTATTCTTATATTTTCCATTATTTACCATTAGGTTCAAACATGACCAATAAAGCCAATTCCAAATAAAGATGATTAGTAAATTATATTCCTGCAACTCCTGGCTATTATGTAGATCAAAGGGCATGGTGCATAGATACTTTCTCAAGTATGTTCCAGATTATCTTCTCTATATGTTGACTGAATACATGAACAGGAGGAGGAGGAGGAGGAGGAGGAGGAGGAGGAGGAGAAGAAGAAGAAGAAGAAGAAGAAGAAGAAGAAGAAGAAGAATCCCTCCTTCAATCTCCTCAATTCAGCAGAAGCTGAAGGATATCCTATGTGCAAACAGCTATACACACAGGCTTTCCCATGTAATCCATACACTGCAGAATATGGTTAGAAGACACATGATGCAACCAGTAGCGGACAGCAGGTGGGGGGCAGGGCTGCCGCACATCCTGGGGGCGTGACACACCACCTGCAGGGGGGGGCAGCCGCGATGGCTCCCCACTGGGATCACGCTGCCGGGGGCAGTGCGCTCCCCCCCCACACTCCTCTTCCTCTGCCAGTGGATGCAACAGCCCTGCTTAAGTTCCGCAGGTATGTGTCTTGTCAATACCAGAATGGGTGCCATCATGTCAACCCTATGTTTATCGAGGCAGTGTGTTGCAATGGCTAGAGTGTCAGACTAGGACCACCTTGTTGTTTTTTTGTTGTTGTTTTTTTTAAAACAAACTCTCTTTTCCATTTCCAATTTTAAATTACTTATTTTCTGGACTTCCTCATACCTCCCTCTTTTGTATTCCAATCCACATTATTTGTCCAGCAGTTTCTTTTCCACTTTTTTATCCCAATCTTTAATTTAATAAAATGTTAAAATATATAACTTCAACTTTTTAAACCTAATCCTTACTCTTAATGTCATATAGCTTTAAATTTTTCCCTTTTATTATCAAATTTCCATTTCTTTAGACATCTTTAATCTTAATCTTTAATCTTAATCTATCCTTAACTTTAACCTGTACAGCTGGAAACCACTTATTTTCAATCCAACATCACTCTAACATTCCTTAATTTTGCAGTGTTTCTGAAGATAGTCTTTGAATTTCTTCCAATCTTCCTCCATCGACTCTTCTCCCTGGTCACGGATTCTGCCAGTCATTTCCGCCAATTCCATATAGTCCATAAGTTTCATCTGCCATTCCTCCAGCGTGGGAAGTTCTTGTGTCTTCCAATACTTTGCGATAAGTATTCTTGCTGCTGTTGTTGCATACATAAAGAAAGTTCTATCCTTTTTAACACCATTTGGCCCACTATGCCCAGGAGAAAGGCCTCTGGTTTCTTGGGGAAGGTATACTTAAATACCTTTTTTAATTCATTATATATCATTTCCCAGAAAGCCTTAATCTTTGGGCACGTCCACCAAAGGTGAAAAAATGTACCTTCAGTTTCTTTACATTTCCAACATTTGTTATCGGGCAAGTGATAGATTTTCGCAAGCTTGACTGGGGTTATGTACCACCTGTATATCATTTTCATAATATTCTCTCTTAAGGCATTACATGCCGTAAATTTCATACCTGTGGTCCATAACTGTTCCCAGTCAGCAAACATAATGTTATGTCCAACGTCCTGTGCCCATTTAATCATAGCCGATTTTACCGTTTCATCCTGAGTATTCCATTTCAGCAGCAAGTTATACATTCTTGACAAATTCTTAGTTTTGGGTTCTAACAATTCTGTTTCTAATTTGGATCTTTCCACCTGGAAGCCAATTTTCCTGTCCAATTTAAATGCCTCCATTATCTGATAATAATGAAGCCAGTCTCGCACTTTGTTTTTTAGTTTTTCAAAACTCTGCAATTTCAGTCTATCTCCGTCTTGTTCCAAAATTTCCCAATATTTCGGCCATTTGACCTCCATATTGACCTTTTTCAAGGCTTTCGCTTCCATTGGTGACAGCCACCTTGGGGTTTTGTTTTCTAACAAATCCTTATATCTTAACCAAACATTAAATAGCGCTTTCCTGACAATGTGGTTTTTAAATGCTTTATGTGCTTTGACCTTATCATACCATAAATATGCATGCCATCCAAATACATTATTGAAACCTTCCAAGTCCAAAATGTCAGTGTTTTCAAGAAGTAGCCATTCTTTCAACCAGCAAAAGGCTGCTGATTCATAATAAAGTTTGAGGTCTGGCAGGGCAAATCCACCTCTTTCCTTTGCATCTGTTAGTATTTTAAATTTTATTCTAGGCTTCTTGCCCTGCCAGACAAATTTAGAGATATCTTTCTGCCACCTCTTGAAACAATCCATTTTGTCCACGATCTGCAAAGTTTGAAACAAGAACAACATTCTAGGCAATACATTCATCTTTATCGCAGCAATACGGCCTAGCAGTGAAAGCTTCAAATTTGACCAAATTTCTAAATCTTTTTCACTTCTGACCAACATTTTTCATAATTATCTTTAAATAAATTCCCATTTTTTGCTGTCATGTTAATCCCCAGGTATTTAACTTTCTTAACCACTGTTAAACCTGTCTCATTCTGAAACCTCTCTTTTCAAACGGTGTTAAATTTTCTCTAGAACCTTGGTTTTTGACTTGTTCAATTTAAATCCTGCCACTTGACCAAATTCTTGAATCAGTTCTAAAACCCTTTTGGTACTAGATTCTGGCTCCTGTAACGTCAATACTAAGTCATCTGCAAATGCTCTCAATTTATAATGTTTAATTCCGACCTGTATACCTTTAACCATCTGGTCCCTTCTAATCATATTCAGCAAAACCTCCAGGACCGAAATAAAAAGAAGTGGGGAAATTGGGCAACCTTGTCGTGTCCCTTTTTCAATTTTAAGTTCTTCCGTCACAACATTATTTACAATTAGTTTAGCCTTTTGTTCTGAATAAATTGCACTTATACCATTCTCAAAACCTTGGCCTACCCCCATACCCTGAAGATTCTTCTACATAAAATTCCAAGAAATATTGTCAAAGGCTTTCTCCGCGTCTACAAATATCAACACTGCTTTAGTGTTAATATTCACTTCTAATTTTTCCAAGATATCAATTATATTCCTCAAATTATCAGACAAATGTCTTCCTGGGAGAAAGCCCGCTTGGTCTTTATGAATCTCTTCCAACAGCACTTTTTAAATCTCTTCGCCAAAATATCTGCAAAAATTTTGTAATCCACATTAAGTAATGATATAGGGCGGTAGTTCTTAAGTTGTGTCTTTTCAGTCTCTGTTTTTGGTACAAGTGTAATATATGCTTCTTTCCACGACTCTGGTGCCCTCTTCCCCTCCATAATTTCGTTACAGACCTCTTTCAATGGTTGAGTTAACCATTCTTTTAAAGATCTGTAGTATCTAGAGGTCAAGCCGTCTGGTCCTGGAGATTTACCCAGTTGCATATTTTGAATGGCCCCTTCTACTTCCTGTTCAGTTATTCTGTCATTCAAAATTAGTCTCTTTTCTTGAGATATTTTTTGTAGTCCATTTGTTTTCAAAAATTGGTCTAAATCTGTTTCTTTCACTGGCCCTTGAGTATATAGTCTTTTAAAATACTTCTGGAAACAACTTCTAATCTCTGCATATATACCACCTTGAGCAACCTGGAGGTGGGCTAGAAATGCAACAAACAAACAAACAAACAAACAAGCAAACAAACAAACAAAGCTCTATTGAGCTCTAATAGTTGAAGATAGGTGAGAATGTACATAAATATAATAAAATTAAATTCTCCCCAGAATTCAATAATTTTTATTCTCGTATTTTTTGTTTGGGGGGGGGGGTGACTTCCCATAGTTTCTCTTGACCCAGTAACTCTTCCTTTCATGTTGACATCACTCAGCTGTTTGGTATGCACTGTTCTGAGCCATTGGTGCATGGTGCCATTATTTTGCAATGTGTCACAACATGCCAATGACCTCTCATGACTTCAGTTCATTAATCTAAAGTGCTTTTTTACTGGAGCTTTTAAAAATGATGCCTGGACCGACATGCGCAAATCTAAAAGCAACACCCCCCCCCAAAAAAAAACCCCACGAATCATGGAAAGGCTTATTACTACGCCTTTGACAACGCAAATACTGCAGGCCTGGGTGCCCTCCAGCCAACAGTACAGCTGGCTACTGTCGTGGAGCATATGGAGGCAATGAGTTTGTATCCTAGCTCTTTCTCACCTTCATGCTGGGATTGTGCTCAGGAGAAAAAAATACTTCATTGCCCAGCAGTAAAACATGATCTGATTGTTCTGCTTCCATCTGTCCGGTACGCTGCAGAAAATTAAACAGCTCGAGCAACAACACAGGGATTTCATCCGGTAAGTGTCAGGGAAGCGAGTTTCATGTATATAAAGCACCATCTAATATGCTGCCCAAGAAAACATTCCTTCAGAAACTTCCTGGAAGCAGAGATTTGAGTCTATCAAGCAAGGCCATCTCTCAAACACAGAAAGGTTGTAGCTCACATGCCGAAGGTCCTACTGTCAATTCCTGGAATCCTTTGCGAGTATGAGTACATTAGGCAGCATTGCATGCAAACCACATATACAGCGGTACCTCGGGTTACAGATGCTTCAAGTTACAGACGCTTCAGGCTACAGACTCTGCTAACCCAGAAATAGTACTTCGGGTTAAGAACTTTGCTTCAGGATGAGAACAGAAATCGTGTGGAGGCAGTGGGAGGCCCCATTGACTAAAGTGGTGCTTCATGTTAAGAACAGTTTCAGGTTAAGAACAGACCTCCAGAACGAATTAAGTTCTTAACCTGAGGTACCACTGTATTAGGAGAAATTTGTACTAAGAGGCTGATGACTTCTCAGGAGGTTAAAAATAAATAAATCACAAAATGATGTGGAAAGATGGAGCAGGGGTGGACCTTGGTAATATAATGCCCAGTGCGAGGCCATTTGATGCCCTCTCCCCAGAGCTGGTGCTGCTGGCTTAAGCTGAAACTTGGGAAGCAGGAATGAGGCTCCAACTGGGTCCTGGAGCTCTCGTGCCTCCTTCCCAAAGCCTGGTAAGCATTTGCCCCATTTTGGGAAGGAGGAAGAATACTACTGAAATCCCAGTAGTTGATATTTTTTTAAAAAAACAAACATACTTTTTTATTAAAGATTTCTTGGTTTACAAAAGTATGTGCAATGTCTCTTTTTTCAAGTTACATTTTCTACAGATCAATTTCATTTGTTGAGACATTAGTGTCACATTAGGAAGAAAAGGGGGAAAGACGTGGAGGGGGTCATGGTGGGTGAGGGTGGGGTTGGGTGGCGATGTTTCTATTTTACTATTTTACGTATGTGTGGGATTTTGTGTTAGCGTCGCTTGTGCAGGTTCTCTTTACTATTCACTTGTGTTCCTTTGGTGGTGAGAAAGGTTGGGGTTGG